CTTTACCTTTGCACCTCTGTATGGTGACCACCCAAGCTAGGAACTGTCTGCTTTACCTTTGTACCTCCTGAGGTTATTAGGCAGAGTGTGGCAGCCTAGTAGACGCTTCACACTAAGCACATTCATCTCCCCACTAGATCATAGTGATAAATCAGGGAATGCTGTTTCTCTGACCCTTCGCAGACACCTTCTACCCATGGTTCATTTGCATTTAACTGGTGCTTGATAAGTATTCACTGAATGGAACTGAAATGAAAACAGAGGTAGCCTCCCCTTTTCTAAATGCAGCATGGCCAAAATAATTCATCCTGTGGGACAGAATAAACGGATGCAAAGTTTGGGGAAGCAAAGGCAGAGTGCAGAAAAGGGCTGTGGAGTAAATCAGGAGGCCAGGGTTTTGGCCTCACCTGCCTGTACACCCTCATTTCCTTATAGAATGTTAGGGAAGTATAAGATGTATAAGAAAGCTGGGCTGGGGAGATAGCTCAGGAGAATAAGAGCTTGCCTGGAAAGTGCAAGGTCCTGAGTTCAATCCCCGGTACCACAATAAATAAATAAAAAGATGTATAAGAAAGTGTATTAAGTCATTACCTCAATACACTTGAGAAGAGTTTAAAGCATTTTACAAATACAAAGGTATTACCACCTCCTTTATGAGTTTCAAAAGCAACAATGTATAATGGGCATTTAGTAAATGCAAGCCAGCAGGGTTCAACACCACACTGTTTTGCCCCCACACCAGAAGTGAGCCGTAATACATGGGCCTTATTTTCCCACAGGTATGAATTAGGAGCTGCTCTGTTTATTGGATGGGCAGGAGCCTCACTCTGCATAATCGGCGGCGTCATATTTTGCTTTTCAATAGCTGACAACAATAAAACACCCAGGTATGCAAGAAACAAAAATTTTCTGTTAAAAGGCACCATCCTATTTTAAATCATCATTATGCATGGGGCAAACTGCAGACTGTTCATGTAATTCATAGAAATGTCAAAACCCAGAATTGAAAAAGTTAAGAATATAGTCAGTTAGAACAAAAAGCCCATTATTATCATATTCCAAAAGTATTTCTGTAATTAGAAATAGTAACCTAAATACAAGGGCATGTTTTTCACACTGGCCTCATTATTTTTGGAGGTTTTTT